GGTCGTCACGTGTTATCACACATTTATCATCTATTATTCGTAACATACTAATTCTCTCCGCCGTAAGCTCATCTCAGGCATATTTTCTTCCCCCGTTAGCTCGTCTTACGCATATTATTTTCCACCGTAAGCTCGTATCAGCCAAACTCTTTCCTAGCATAAGCCCATCTACTTGCGGAATCGCGGACGTGCTCGAAATGATGATGTTCGTCAAGTGGAGCCCCATTGGCCTCCCGCTGCTGCTGCTGCTCGCAGGTTAGCGGCGAGTCCCTACGTTTTTATACTCTCTCATAGCCGCATTCGAATCGCAATGACGCAATGACCCCGTGTTAGTACAATAGCTGGGCGGTGTTGCAGTGCTGTGCCTTTTATTTAGATGATGAAAACAAAGCATTCGGTGCTGTGCGGTGTTGCGGTGCTGTCATACTGCATGCTCGCTGGACACTCCGTGGACCACCATCCGCATTGCTGCTGTTGCGGTAAGCTTGAGGAATTGGGTTTGCGAGCCTCAACCTGTTCTCTGACCCGCGAACCTCTCTTATTGGGCTGAAAAACACTCGCGAAAGCTCAGCACTGGTGACTGGACTATTACAACATTGCCGAACGCACGTCCAACCTACTCGCACATCATCTCCGGCATCCTACGTGTCATCTCTGGCACGAATGGCACGAAATGTAACATTTTTAGATAAGGTACAACCATCACCAGCGATTTTTGTCAGGCATTTATGTTATAGTCTGTGTAGGCTGTAGTGGGGCAGTTCATATGGGGTACAACACTTAAGGATTTACTACTTATACTCCTCATTCTGCTCGATGCATTCATTCCTCGTTTCTTCTCATGGTATCAAGCAGGTTCCATAGTGGGAAAGCTACCTAGGCCCCACCACGATTTTTTTTCCTGCCCGGAGCGCGCTTCAATCCTGCCCGAGTCGCGCTCTCTGTGCCCTCCCTACCTTTGCGCCGCCCTTAGTGGCCCCTCTCACGGCCCCTTACGCCGCCCCTCACTCCTCCGAGTTTCCTCCGACAGAGGCTCCGCTACAGACCCTCCACACGGACGTGTGGGGCCCCGCCCGCGTCCGTGGGCAGGGGCACGAGCGGAACTTCCTGCTGGTGGTTGACGACTACTCGCGTTACACCACACTCTTCCCCTTGCGCAGCAAGAGTGACGTCACTGAGGTGTTGATTGACTGGATCCGCGCAACTTGTCTCCAGCTCAGGGACAGTTTTGGCTCGGACTTTCCTGTTCTGCTCCTGCACTCGGACACAGGCGGGGAGTTTTCCTCTGCCCGTCTGGGAGCCTTGTGTCGTGCACAGGGCATCCGCCAGACCTTCACGCTTCCGGCCTCTCCACAGCAAAATGGGATTGCTGAGCGCCGCATTGGCATGGTCATGGACGTCGCTCGTACGTCCATGATGCATCCGGCTGCCCCCCATTTTCTGTTGCCGTTTGCGGTTCAGTACGCCGCGCATCAGCTCAACCTTCAGCCCCGGGTCTCCTTGCCAGAGACCTCCCCCGCCTTGCGGTGGACGGGGAAGGTTGGCGATGCGTCTGCGTTTCGGGTCTGGGGATCTCGGGTGTTTGTCCGAGACTTGTCTACGGACAAGCTGTCCCCCCGTGCTGTTCCCTGCGTCTTCCTTGGCTTCCCCCCTGACGTGCCTAGGTGGCAGTTTTACCACCCCACCTCGCGCCGTGTTCTGTCATCCCAGGATGTCACGTTTGACAAGTCGGTGCCTTACTACCGTCTCTTCCCCTACCGCTCTGCGCCCCTCCCCCCGTCGCCGCTCTTCCTTGCACCAGGTCCTCCCCCGGTAGACCCCCTCCCCCCTGAGGGTCCTGCCCCGTCAGGTGTGTCCCAGGTAGACGCAGTCAGGCCTGTCGAGGTAGCTGTTGACTCTGGTGCTGCTGGAGGTGCTGAGTCTGGGGGTGCTGAGACTGGGGGTGCTGAGTCTAGGGGTGCAGAGCCTGGGGGTGCTGGGTCTGGGGGTGCGGAGCGTGGGGGTGCGGAGCCTAGGGGCGCTGGGTGTGCTCGTTTGGCCGCCGGTGGTGCTTCGTCAAGGCGGAAGCCACTCTCTCCACAGGAGCTGCGCGAGTGGTTTGCCCGCCGCTGGAGACGCGCTGCTAGAGTTGGAGGTGATACTATTGCTGCTGGTCTCGGAGGTGCTCGTACTGGCGGTCCTGGAGCTGTTGGGACTGGGGGTGCTGCTGGGGCTACTGGAGTTGGTCCTACTGGAGCTGCTGGCGGTGCTGGTGGTGCTGGAGCTGGAGCTGCTGGGGGTGTTGGCGCTGGTGTTTCTACTGGCGCTGGTGCGTCTGGGGGTGCTGCTGAGGCTGCTGGGCTGACGGTCCTACTGGAGCTGGTGCTGCTGGAGCAGACGTGGCAGTACTGACATACCACCGATCAGTACAGTACCTTCACGCCCAACCAAATCTCAACCTGCGATTGATCCGCTGGTTGAACTGTCTGGAGTCCAACTTCCACTACACCGTCACGTACAAGAAAGGTGCATCAAATATCGCCGACGCACTTACCCGCCCTACCGCCAAACTCCACACCATCCTACTCGCCCAAACCAACCCACTATTAACAGGACTATTTTCCCACGGATGCCATACCGACCCCTTTTTCACGACCGGCAATTCACAGCAACTGACAGAAACAAAGGGAGTCTATTACGTTAAAACAGGCACCAACTGCATCTGGGTACCTGCGTACTCACTACTGAGGGAATTGTTACTACAGAAGGCACACGGCGTGATTACCTCAGGACACTTCGGGGTAGAAAACGCGCGACAGCAACTGCAGTGGTATTGTTACTGGCCGGAGCTGTTGACTGACGTACAGCACCACGTCGGCTCGTATCCTACGTGTCAGGTGATGAAGAGCTCGCGAAAAAAAAAGGCGGGTCAGTTGCAGCCGATTCCACCGCCTGAGCGCGCCTGGCAGCAGGTTACCATGGATTTCGTCACGGGGTTACCTTCGAACCCTGGGGGCAACGACGCGGTGATGGTCATCGTTGACAGGTTGGCGATAATGGCACACTTTGCTACATGCAAGAAATTGATCTCAGCTGAAGAAACCGCTCGCCTGTTCATTGCAACCGTCGTTCGTCTGCACAGGATACCAGCTGCGATAATCAGCGATCACGACATGAAATTCACCAGCAACTTCTGGAGGTACCTTTGGGAGCAGTTCGGGACAAGGCTCCAGTTCAGCTCGTCGTACCACTCTGAGACCGACGGTCAAACGGAGCGGACGAATCAGACGATGGAGCAGTTGATTCGTGCCACGTTCGACGACCCGACAACCTAGGAGCAGCAGCTGCCGCAGATCGAGTTCGCGTACAACAACGCCACATCACCGACGATGCAGCAGTCCCCGTTCTACCTGAACTATGAGCAAAATCCAACAGTGTCCATGACGCCGAGTCCGGACAACCCCACGCCACGCGCACAGCAATTCCTGGAGATTCTGCAAACTGCCCGAACCAGAGCCGCCGAAGCAATTGAAAAGACAAACGTCATCGCTAAGTGAAACGCTGACAACTACCCCGCGCGGTCACGTACCTGTCAGGCGATTACGTACTGGTCGACACGCAAAACTTACGTCTGCCCGACGTGCAAAAACTCCGACCCCGCTACTGTGGACCGTTCCAAATCAGCCACATGATTACGCCATTAACCGCACATCTACTGTTACCAACCGACTGGTACATCATTCCACGTCAGCCTGCTTCGCCCGTACATCCCAACCACTAGCCAACTACCTCGTCATCCCCCGCCATCCATGTTTCGCCCTGCAACGAAGCCGATCATCGACCCCGAGAAAATTCTGAGCCATCGGATTCGACACCCCACAAGCATCAAGAGGATCGAGTTCCCCGTTCGCTGGAAGGACCGCACGCCAACTGAGGATAGCTGGGTGCCCCTGGCCAACGTTGAAAACCACCCTGCCCTGCAAGTGTACCTGAGGAGCTGGGGTTTCCGAGATATACACACCCTCGCATAGGGGGCTTCTTGAAGGGGGGGGGGGGGGGGGGGGGGGGGGGGGGGGGGGGGGGTAGTGTAAGGAATTTTTTCGACATTCCTTACCGCGACCCGCAACATCGCGTACAGCAGCAGCCGTTGTTCGCCCGTTACTGCTAACGGGACTTCGCTGACTTCGCACGCACTGTTTCACCAAACCATGCAACGCTGGCCCGGCTGTGTCGGCCTACGCTTTGGGACTAGCCCGAACCTCGATGCCAGCCTAGCACTAGCTACCTCGCACGCACCGCGTTACCGTTTGCATGTTTCGCGTATAAATGTTCGCTCATGCCTTCGCTCACATGTTGTACTCGTTTGACACTCTAGTGCAATCCTCACTACCTCAATCCATTGCAGCCGTAACAAGATTGAATCCTGGAAGTTGGGATTGCAGCTGTTTCTGGAATGTCCCACCCAGGTCTAGGTTCGGGCTTTAATGGTCAGGGTGATTATTTTGTGAGGATCAAATCTGCAGGAATCCAATCCAAATCACAAACACAAGCAAATGGACTTCATATATTGTAGAGGATCCTACCTGGATGAACCTACAGGGGTAATAACTGGGAAGGAATGCACATACGGTATCTCTGACTGTAGCAGTGAGACAGTGCTTGCAGCTGTGAGACAGTGATTGCAGCAGCAGCTGCTGCTGCTGCCGCTACCTGATGCTGCTGCTGCTGCTGCTGCTGCTGCTGCTGCTAAGGCACCTGGCGCCTGTGTGCCTGCCAATGTGTCACCCCACACGGGTCTGCAGTATCTGTGCCCAAGACATGCTTGTCAGGCGCATGTCATGACATGCCGCATCCACTCTCAAAGGTGTGTTTTGAGTCGACTCATAACACGCTATCATGTCATCCCGCGCGTGCCTGCAGTATCTGTGCCAAAGACATGCTTGTCAGGCGCATGTCATGTCATGCCGCATCCACTCTCAAAGGTGTGTTTTGAGTCGACTCATAACACGCTTGCTATCATGTCATCCCGCGCGTGCCTGCAGTATCTGTGCCAAAGACATGCTTGTCAGGCGCATGTCCTCCCATGCTGCATCCACTCTCACATAAGGCCACCCCATGATTCGTGCCGCTGCTGCCTCCTCACACCCATCCCCCACCGCCACAAACCGATGCTCACCGCTTCGCACCGTTTGGGATGTTTTACAGCACACAGCATCTGCAGCAATCCCTTCCAGGGTGCTGGTAACGGTGCTGGTAACCGCGCCGGAGTGCCTGTTGCTGTGACGGTCGCTGAAGCGGTCTCGGATGCGTTTGAAGCACACGAGCTTGCCTTCCCTGCGAGAGCTGTGGACTGCACAGGGCAGGACGAGAAATATCAAGAGCTTGAAACAATGGCAACCATCCCTGTAGCGATGTCGAATGTGTTTGAAGCACACGAGCTTGCCTTCCTTGCGAGAGCTGTGGACTGGAAGGGGCATGGCAAAATAGACGGGAGAAATGAATGTACCGATTGAAGAGAGGAAATGTGTTGCTGAGGGGGGTTGTTTTCTTCACAGCAAATTCCGCAATTGAAGAGGTTTTTTGCTTGCAAAGACCTGCCACAATCTGTAAGGCTTTTTTTGTAAGGAATTTATACAGTAGCACCGAACCCCACAGCTGTAGCGTGCGTGAGCACTCACAAAGGCTTGGCACGTTGCAAGTGATTTTGTGGGAATTCCAGAAATTGCTTTCCTAAAGTCTACTGCTTCGAATATTCTCAAACGCCAGGGAACCCCCTGTCGTAGCATGAGCACTCACACAGGCTTGGCACATTGCAAAAGATGCACCGATTTTGGGACATGTCCAAATCATGCAAACGATGTACCACGGAGATTATGAAGTTCCCCTCAACAATGAGGCTCCTACTCATCAAAATGAGAGATTTTACGCAGCACAATTGCTTTTGAGGCGCCTCAAAAGACCCCCTCAACAACCACATGAGAGATTTTACGCAGCACGATTGCTCTAGGCACGATTGACCATAACCGCCTTACAAGTGATAAGTAACAAATAGAGTAAACCCATAACAAACCACAGAATAACAGATGTAAGTGCTCTTACAGCCAACGTCTCTCGGTCAAGGCATAGGAGACAATTGACTTACTGTTGGTCGGGCAGATAAGAGGATTGACTTACTGTTGGTCGAGCAGATGAAGGGATCGAGGCTGAACAACAGGCATTTGACAAGGGTTGGAATGAGCTGCCCGGAAGAAACGATCACATTGACTGCCCCCGTACCACCCTCTGCCGCTGCAGCCTTTGCTGATCCAGTCTCGGCTGCTCTCCTTTCTTCGGCTTCTGCTGCTGCTGTTGAGGTGGCAACCCCTGCTTCAGCCAGCATGGCCCGACCTAGAGTGGTGTAGCACGGTGCAATGGGATGGGATGGGATGGGATGGGATGGGATGGGATGGGATGGGATGGGATGGGATGGGATGGGATGGGGTGGGATGCGATGGGATGGGATGCGATGGGATGGGATGGGATGGGATGAGATGGGATGGGATGGGATGGGATGGGATGGGGTGGGGTGGGATAGGATGGGATAGGATGGGATGGGATGGGATGGGATGGGATGGGATGGGATGGGATGGGATGGGATGGGATGGGATGGGATGGGATGAGATGGGATGGGATGGGATGGGATGAGATGGGATGGGATGGGATGGGATGGGATGGGATGAGATGAGATAGGATGAGAGGAGATTGGGGTGTGACACAGTGATTAGAATCAAAGCAGCTGACTTCAAGCAACAAGTGACTTCACACCTGCCCTCCACACTCCACTTGCACCCACCCGCCCACCTACCTGCTGCCAACCACCCGTGGGTGAATCTGTCTGTCTGTGCGTACAGCTGCTTCCTGTGTGCCTCTTCTGCTTTGGTCCTATCTAAAACACACTTCTTGAGTCGACTCAACACGCACCTGCCCTCCTCCCTGCACTCACCCGCCTACCTGCTGCCAACCACCCGTGGGTGAATCTGTCTGTCTGTGCGTATAGCTGCTGCCTGTGCGCCTCTTGGGCTGGTGTGAGGAGGGACGAAATGCCCTGCAGGGTCAAGGAGGGGTAGGCAACATGATAGATGTCTTAATCAACAGAATTCTATGAGAGTATGGAATGTGATTAGAGCTGGTTTTTTAGAATTCTAAAAAATCATGATAGGTGTCTTATTAACAGAATTCAATGAGAGTATGGAATGTAATTAAAGAAGAGAATCCACGAAACGGAATACCCGAGGGGCAGGACCTCTAAAGGACAAGAATCGGGTCAGGAGTGTAACTACAGAAGCAAATTGAAGTGACGCCTTTGAAGAAACCGTAATTACCTTCCTGTATGCCGATTCTATCCGCTGAAACCGCTCTGCAACCATCCGGCTTTCATGCCAACCCACCGCATCAGCATCCACGTCAGAACAGGCAGAAACTGCTGGTTGTTTAGGGCGTGCTATGGAACCATCGCCGTGGTTCGGCGATGCCACGTCAGCAGGCTTGCTACCAGCTTCCACGTGGCACAAGTTTGGGAGGTCCACGTCCTCAAGCTGACGTGGCAAGACAGAGCCAAGAACATGAGAGATATGGGAGAAACGGGGATGGGTTGATGTGAACTGCAGCATGTTTCTAAGGGGTGACAAGAGGTGGGTTGCGATACAAGGTGAGAACAATATGGGATGAGAGAAGGTCGGATGGGGTGTGTGCTGAAATGCGGTGATGGGTAATAATCTCTTCGGAAAGTCGAGGTAAGGCGGCATAGATGCAATGTGCATGCACCCACACACACGCACATGCACGCACACATACGCACATGCACAAAGCACGCACGCATGCATGCACACGCACATGCACGCACACATGTGCACTCGCACACACGCACGCATGCTTGCATGCATGAACACACACGTGCATGCACGCACACATGCACTCACACACACGCACGTATACATACACATGCCCACGCACCCGTACACGCGCATGTGCACGCGTGCATGCACGCACACATGCACATGCATGAACAGATGCAGACGCACAAACGCACCAACCCCTTCCCACCCCTTCCCCCCCCCCCTCCTCTTCCACGACAGCCCCCACGTCCCCACACACAGCAGCTCACCTTTCACAAGAAAACGTCGTCCTTGCACACATGCTGTGTGCGCACGGCACTCACCTCTCTGAACTCAACCACTCCTCCACCCCATTGCTCAGCACACATGCACACATGCTGTGTGCGCACGGCACTCACCTCTCTGAACTCAACCACTCCTCCACCCCATTGCTCAGCACACATGCACACACACAAAGGCACACACACACACACACACACACACACACACACACACACACACACACACACACACACACACACACGTGGTGCTCACCTCTTTGAAGAAGAAGTGGTCGTCACACACGTCAAGAATCAGCCTCTCCCACGCCTCCCCCAGCCCCCTTGCCCACTCCTCTACCCCTCTCCCATTCTGTGTCTTTCCCTCCGCACACACACAAGTGCGCTCACCTCTTTGAAGAAAAAGTGGTCGTCACACACGTCAAGAATCAACCTCTCCCACGCCTCGCCCAACTCCCGTGCCCGCTGCTCCACCTTTTTGCTGTTGCTTCCCCCCGCCTCCACCACTCTGCCACTGTTCCCCCCTGCCCCACTTGCCCCCGCTGACTCCCTGTCTGCCAAAAGAGTCTTGGCGAACTTTCCGGAGAGCAGCGATTGGAAGATAATTAGGGTTTCATCAAGGTCCCATACGATTACTGGGCGAGGGCGAGGGCAGGAAGGCGGGTGCGCGGCAGCGGTATGAGGAGCAAGGGGAGGAGGTGGACGAAGAGGCTCAATACTCCCTTTATCAACCCTCCCGTCCCCTTCGACCTTCCTCTCCTTCTCCTGCCTCTCCTCTTTCTCTCCTGATACAAACTTCCTTTTCACACTCTCTCTCTTGCCTGCCTCCCCTATACCTCCTCTTCCTTCCATCTCCCTTACTCCCTCTACATCCTCCTTCTCATTCCTCTCGCTGCCCTCGTGCAGCACACGTGGCAGGGACACGTCACACGCCACGTCAGCAGGCTGGAACGAGTCATATGCCACGTCACTAGCATGAGTGCGCTGCTCGCCACGTGGAGGAGCAACAGAACCGTAGGTAGCAGGTTGATTAGAAGGCTGCCTGTGCACCAGGCGGGGAGAGGGGCGGATACGGACAAAAAGGGGGGGGCATATGGACAGGAGAGGGATGGGCGCACAAGGGGGAGGGGAGCAGAAGGGGGGCGCGCACAAGGGGGAGGGGGAGCAGAAGGAGGGCGCGCACAAGGGGGAGGGGGAGCAGAAGGGGGGCGCGCACAAGAAAAAGGGGAACAGAAGTGGGAGGAGTTCAAGAGGGAGCGTCACAGAAAAGGTTGGGTTGCAGCACAAGCATGGGGGCAGAGCAGAGAGAGGAGAATGCATGGTGAGCTGGGAAGGGGGGGGGGGGGCAGGAGGGTAGAGGCAGTGAGGTGGTGGTGGTGCTTCGAGTTTTGAGTCGACTCAAAACTCAACTCAAAGTCGACTCAAAACACAGCAGAGAAAGGAGAGGAGAATGCGTGGTGAGCTGGGACGGGGGAGAGCAGAAGGGTAGAGGCAGTGAGGTTTTGAACAAAGCTGAGATGTAGGCTTATAGGTGGTGGAGAGACGGTAGAGACTGAGGGGGGTGATGGAAGTGAGAGGGAGAGGGAGAGGCGGAAGTAGGAAGGGGAGAGAGACAGGTTTGGAAGGTGGAGAAGAGAAGCAATGGTGCGTACGTGGCACATAAAGAGTTGTCAATAGAAGGCCTCTCGCTGATCAGCCACCATCGGTTATAAGAAGGGCCTTTTGTTTAAGCAAAGATGGTAAGAGAACTGAACTGAACTGAACTCACAACGGAAACACGATGGCTGTGATCTTCTAGTGGTGGCTCCGGCACTGCTGCCGCTGCTGCTGGTGGAAGTTCAGGTGGTGGTGCTGGCGGGAGTGGTGGGTGGGGCAGTGCTGCTGCGGCAGAGGCAGGAGTAGAGAGGTGAAAGACAGATGAAACCCAAGGAGGCGGAGGGCGAGTGGAAGTTGAAGGAGAGGGGTTGACGGAGGCTGCCTCGGCTGAGCTGGCAGCAGGTGATATCCGGGGAGGTGGAGGGTGGGTGGAAGGGGGGTTCTGCTGCTGCTGGTAACCCTGGTTCGATTTCCAATGCTGGTTCGAATTCCAATGCTGGTTCGGATTCCAATGCTGGTTTGGGTTCCAGTGCTGATTCTGATTCCAAGGCTGGTTCGGATTCCAAAGCTGGTTCGGATTCCAAGGCTGGTTCGTATTCAAAGGCTGGTGTTGGTTTGAATGAGGATGTTGCAGCTGGTATTGATATTGGGTATGGTACTGAGAGTGACTGTTCGGATGCTGGTGCTGCTGCTGCTGCTGGTACGCTGAGTCGTGTGTCTGTTGTTGCTGCGCGTATGAGTAATGAGCCTGCTGTTCATGTTGTGGCTGCTGCTGCTCCTGAGCCTGATGTGGGTATTGCCATGGATCCTGCTGCTGCTGCTGCTGCTGCTGCTGCTGCTGCTGCTGCTGCTGCTGCTGCTGCTGCTGCTGCTGCTGCTGCTGCTGTTCTTGCAGAGGTTGCAAGTACTGTGAGAATTGCTGACAGTATTGTTGCTGGTATGACCCTTGCGGGGGTGGCTGCTCTTGATGACCTTGGGAATACCGCGTCTGCACGCTACTATGGTCTCCTGGTGATCCCTCCATGAGCAATAACTCTTCCGTTCGGTGCTGCTGCCACGTCAGCTGGTCGTGCTTTACGAGACTAGGGGATACTGCAACGGGAATTGAATCCGCTTCGGAAAATTGCCGTGTCTGAGGCAAGCAGGCTTATGGATAAGCCTCTTTGACCTGAGGCAGGTTAAAAGAAGAGAATGGTTACAGGCCAACACGGGTGCGGTCAAACCCTTAAGAAATAATACCCCAGATGTGTGATTACCGTGCCGTGAACCACTAAGTCAACTCAAGTCGCCTCGTGGCATGTGAAAGAATGCTAAAATCATGGTGGTATCGTCTCCTCCCGTGGATACTACTCCAATCGTGTTCGGTTTGAACCATAAGACGAACTTCAGAATCGAACCGTCTTGCATCCGCGGCGGAACTGACGCGGCATCAGGAGGAGAATTCGTTGGGAATCTTCCTCTCGTCGGAAAATGCCGGAAGATAATCCTCACTTCCTGGTCGTTACTCACGAACCGTCTATAGGGATCGAGAAAACAAGGATATGCGAGAATGGCGCGGCGAGAAACAGGCGAGTCGGGGAAAGGCAGGCAGGCATGAAAGAAGCCTAGAATAGAGCAGCAGGCAGTGCAGCAATAGCAGGAAGAACAGGATGCAAAGCATAGGTTGTGATCTCTGCTGGCAGGTGCTGAGGGGCTAGTGGTGGTGAGGAGGTCTGACAATAAGGAGAGCAGAACACCATTGTTCTCATTAGTAGCCGCTTCTGTATTTGATTGTGCATAGACGTACCCTACACGTACCATATCTAGATTTTTTCCCAATCTTTGTCAGGATGACAGATATTTTCTCGCTGTCCTCCCCATGCCGGCCCAGCTGTGATTCTTCTCTCAGGCGACGGTGCAAGTGATGCTATTTTGTTTTCTTGATGGGCGACGACATTCCCAGCTGTCAGCGTATGCACTGCGCGCGTTTGCGCACGCAAGTGAAGCTCGTCAACAAGTTCGCATATAAGTAATCAGGGGCTTGGGTATTCGTACCGTATTTATTTTTAGCTTCTAATTTGTATCTCGTGTGATTTGGTTTCATCAGGCGGAGTGAAGCATCCAGGCGAAGGGTCGTGTGGTAGCAGGAGAACCTAAGCGTAGATTCACCTGGATCATTTGCAGCCTGTTGGTTTCATTGATAGACCGAGGCAGAAATCCATCTGTAGAGCAGAAGCCACATGCGCCGCTAATATTCCTCCTCCCTGTTTCCAAAGCGGACGGTAGTGAAACTCGTTCCTAGTTCGTCACACGTCGCACCTAGAGCCGTTGGCATCAGCACTATCTCTTCTCCGCTCATGTCCGTCTCGAGAGCAGACCCTAGCCTCCCTTCCTCTTCCTGGTTCTCATACCTCGCGGCCGTGCCACCTCCACCGAGTCCGCGGGAGATTAAGGACTTTGTCTTTGGCGGTCGCGATTCCAAGGAGTCGCTTGACCCGTACAGGAGGGAGGTGCGGGAAGGGCAGGTGCAATGGTGCCTGGCGGTGCTGCTGCTGGTGATTGCCTCAGTGTTGCTCGTCGTAATCCTCGTGGAGGAATCTTCGGAGCAACCCACAGGATCACAGATGCTCATAACGCACTATGTGAGTGTGAGCTTGCTGTTCTCGTCTGTTGTTCACATGACAATGACTCAGTTTCTGCCTTGGTATTTTTATGGAGAGCAATGAAGTTTTTTGTGTTAAAATCTGCTACCTATCTATTTTTCTGCTCATGCTGCTTGTGTTCATGCTGTTTTTCCTGCCCCTTCCATCAGCCCCTGCTTCCAAACTCATCGGCCCCTGCATTAGCTAAATGGCTTCCCCTCAATGCCTCTGCTCAGGTGAACACATCAACCAGTATGCTATTGAATGCTGAGATCAAGGAACATAACAAAAGTTCCGTGAATAGCCTAGACAATACAGCTGGCGCCTCAGACCGTGAGGCGCCATAATCATTGACTCAGCTTTTGATCAAACGGCCCAGCGTACTACTAATGTACTTTATAATAACATAAATCCGTAATCATCTGCTGTTACTATTGTAAATCTGTCACGCACGTCTAGAGTGAATGGATACTTTTACTAGTAAATGAGGGACAGGGGTGTTAGAGATACATGAGAATACTAGCCTACGGATGACAAAACATATAACTGGGTCAAGGGGACTAATTTGAAGGCCTTCAAGAAGTTCCAGCTCTCCAAAAAACCTTGGTGCAACTCAACGTTCCAATGAAGAAACCTGGGTCTTATGAACAAAAAACTTTCATAGAACGCGCCGCGTCCGTCCGAAGCCTGTGGGTGGATAACAAGAAACAAAATCGTTGTGTTTTGTAAGATGACCGTCTCACCCGGACGTAATGCAAAACGAAATTGCCGCTAGCTGCAGATATTTACACAGGTGGAAAATAACTTCAGAAGGTATACACGTACCTTCACTCGTCGTCAGCGGGTTCAAGGCTCTCAATCTCGTCTTGATATCTCTTTTTATCGTCTTCCGCCATCTTCATGTATGGCTGCAAATTCATGACAGACGAAAAAAGTAACGTCAGTCTGACGCTATTATGGAAAACTGCCATAACACGAACTGGTGTTAGACGAACCGTCAGTCGCCAGTACACGAGAATTACTGAAAGGCAGAACTACCCACCCTCTTCTCTTTGTCGTCCAACTCCTTCCACTGAGCTCCCAGAATCTTCCCAAGCTCTCCGAAGGAAACGTCTGGATTGTTGGCCTTCACGACTTCTCTTTGCTCTTTGCAGTAGAACATGTACGGAGCTAACGGCCGCTTCGGAGCATTCGGGTCCTTCTTCTTCTTCCCTCCCTTCTCCTTGCCCTTCGCTGCTTTCGGCATGACAGGCGAGCCTCTGGTGGAAGGACCTTCAAATACCAACCGAATACTATAAGACAAACTTCTTTCTGACACAGTCGCTCAACAACTAAGAGAGAAAGCAAAGAAAGCTGGGAACTGAAGCTCTGAAACCCCAATGAGAGAACCTTGGATGGCCTGCTGACTACTTGAGCCTGGTTTCCGCTTGGCAAATCAGTCAGTTGCTCGAGGCTCCGCTCACTTGCTCGCCCACGCGGAGAGGCACGAATATTGCTGGGAGAATTGCCAGGCAATATTTGCCCGTGAATCTTCTCAGGCAAATTGGGAACACTAGTGCAAATTCTGCTGGGAGTCGCAATGCTCATGGAGGCATCGAGCTCAAAAGCTGCCGTGAAATGCGCCGATTCCTGGGTTCCGTTATCAACCAATGATAGAGGTTCATTAAGTCTGGCAGCCAATGAATGCTCTCCTCAGCCAAATTGGCTGGTGACTTCCCTGATGAGTGCGCTCCAGGCGTGGTGCACCCCATGGGCAAACAACCAGAAAACGTCGAGCCTAGGCTGCCCAGAGTAGCCGGAAAAGTTTGCTCGGTGGGGAATTGCTGCCCGGTTACCTACTGTTACCGCTCGTCGCCAGGCGACTCCCTCCCCGAATGAAACTGTCCGCGCAGTGAATAAAATGTATCTGACCGTTCAGTGGCTAATCCGAGGGCCGTTGTGTGTCAGGGGGAAACGGAATCCCCGTCAATCACCCTACAGCCTGCCAATGAGAGTTGCTTGCTTCTGCACGGCGAAGCCCTGTCCTCGCGCGACGTCACCAGCAACGACTACTTTCTGGTGGCGCACATGATAACATGTATTTTAAACAAGACTATTTATATATTTTTGCAAGACAATATAATACACATTATTAACGTTGGAAGAAATGCACACATGAAAACATGATTGCATTCTGTTAAAAATGAGCTGTAAAAGAAAATCCATGCATTTTACTGTGTGATTTGAAGGACCCATCTTTAACTGCAGCTGAATCCCAGCAATGTTACTTTCAACGAAGATACACAATTTACACGCTGTAAGATGGAAGCTCGTAGCAGGGATTACCGCGAGTCGTCAGTGAAACCTGGACAATATGTTAGGGCGCTTCACCTGTCGGTTCGAACAACACACTCGTTCGAACAGGCGAAACGTTACTAGTTTCGCCTATGTTCGTAGTGGTTTTCGTGAAGTCGCGAAGCACAATTTCGCCAATTTGAACAGAGCTGTCACCTCAAGCACGATTTTCATCATCCCGCACGTTCGAACACGTTTGTTCGAACAGGTTGGGATAGGTGACACACAATTCCGCACAAACGACTGATATGATTGGTCCACAGTCTTCCGGGTCGCCCATGAACGTTTGCGACCCGGCCAGACGTCGCCAATGTTTGGGACCCAATGCTTGGCGACGTCGCTCTTTTGTGGGCGACGTCGCTGTGTTCGAACAGACCGCGTGTGCGAATAGCGATGGCGTCACCTGTGATGGCCTGTGTCACATTCGCTCATTGTACGTATTTGTGTTCGAACTCATTTGGGATACTGTTCGTACAGTCAAACTGATACGTCGGTTCGGATTTTGGCCTTCCGCCCCTCAGGTGAAGCGCCCTTAGAAATCTGGATCTCATCACTCCACCTAGTTCCGTGGCTTCTGAAAATCTGCAGCACACATCGATTCACCAGCGGTTTCCTCCATTGTTGCCTTGGCTCCCCTTATTCCGGCGTTGGGTTGAATCTAGTGATCTCGGTGCTGCTGTTGCGGTTCCTTGGGATTCATTGCGTTGCTCGTCTGACCTCGGTGTGTCATCAAGCATTCTCTCTTTTCACTACTGCATGCGCTTGTCACGACTCAGTCGAGTCTTAGCAGGCGACTTTAGCATCTCGTTACAAGCGCAGCCGCCAAATTCCGGATTGGATTAGTACAACGTTCGTTTCACCCGACAATACCTGCCATCCCGTTCCGTTTCACGCAGGCTGGTCTGAATCTGGCTAGTGCCTAGTGCACAATGCCATGCTTAGCAGTCGCACCTTCGTAAGATAGCATTTCCGAAGGCAAGCATCGCTCTCGTAAGTACACTCACTAACATTCACGACGTTATCAGATGCTGTGTAGCCCACTGCATTGGAGCTTCATGTAAAAGGCATTACGAAACCTCCTCGTAGGAACCAGTTTCCAACAGCCAGAAAACTCCGTGCCTCTTGGGAGGGTGCTCTTACATTGTCCGTTTCTCATATCCTCAGCTCCCGTAGTTAGTGTAGCTATCGGTATTTCTCAATTACCCTATTTGCTGTACAAACTTTAGTTACTGTAGTTATCGCAGTTGTCGTTTCACCGAGAGTGTCGCAGATGGCTCGGCCGGTGTTCGACTCCAAGTACCCGGCGAGCCACGTGCCACGTCAGCTGCAAGCAGCGTTGGTGGTGTCGGTGGTGGTGATGCTCGCCGTGCTCACCATGCACAACGCCAACATGACCGCGCGCTCGTACGCGATACAAGAGGACCTGAATCGAACCGCCGCGTTTGAGGAGCTCCTCGACCGACGCTTCCAGGAGATTTCCGTTCTGGTAATGCTGGATGGGCTTTTATTGACCTACATTATCGTCTGAAATGCGTCAGTCTTCAAGGCGTCACCTCATACCCTCTCCCAACTTCCTTAGGTACTCATTCCATCTTCCTTCTCTCCCCTCTTCCCCCTTTACCCCCTCCTCATCCACGTCAGTTCCAGGGAACTTTGCCTAGGCAACTCAGCACACGCGGATTTCGAACCCTCCGCGTTCATTCCCCATTCCCCATCCCGTTTTTCCCCTTTTCCCCCCTTCCCCCTCTGCCCTTCTTCCCCCTTGCCAGTTCCAGGAGAGCATCGCCAAATCCAGCACAGCGCATGCCGAATCCGACCCCACTGCCCTCGCCTCCGCCAACCCCAACAGCGTCCTCCACCTGTCCCACAGGGGCCCGCGCCGCCTGTGCACGTACACGGAGAGCAAGCTGCGCGCCATCCTCGCGCTGCGCCACTGGTGGAAGGTGCATGTGGCCCTCGGAAAGAGGCTTCAAGGCCTCCTCTTTTGCCCCCTACCCCTCCCCACCACTTCCCTTCTTCCCACACGCCAGTTCCAGGAGAGCATCGCCAAATCCAGCACAGCGCATGCCGAATCCGACCCCACTGCCCTCGCCTCCGCCAACCCCAACAGCGTCCTCCGCCTGTCCCACAGGGGCCCGCGCCGCCTGTGCACGTACACGGAGAGCAAGCTGCGCGCCATCCTCGCGCTGCGCCACTGGTGGAAGGTGCATGTGGCCCTCGGAAAGAGGCTTCAAGGCCTCCTCTTTTGCCCCCTACCCCTCCCCACCACTTCCCTTCTTCCCACACGCCAGTTCCAGGAGAGCATCGCCAAATCCAGCACAGCGCACGCGGATTTCGAACCCTCCGCGCTCACAGGGGCCTCCGCCAACCCCAACAGCGTCCTCCGCCTCTCCCACAGGGGCCCGCGCCGCCTGTGCACGTACACGGAGAGCGAGCTGCGCGCCATCCTCGCGCTGCGGCACTGCTGCGGGTGGAAGTGCAACCGGTACTTCTATGGCGGTGCTTGGATCGACTGGAAGACGCTGGATGAGGAGTTTCAGAAGGGGCATGCGCGGGTGCGGGAGGAGGAGGAGGCGGAGTGCGTGCTGGCGTGCAAGCAGCATGAGAACCTGGGGTGCAGCAAGGAGCAGCCGTGCGTTAATGGGTATTACCTGAGGCGAAACACCACCGGTGAGATATAATTACTTTTGGGGGAGTTTAGAAGGGTTGTCCCTGTTGGGTGCTTGTTTTCTGCTTTGAAATGGGGTGCGTGGATCGACTGGAAGGCGCTGGATGAGGAGTTTCAGAAGGGGCATGCGCGGGTGCGGGAGAAGGAGGAGGGGGAGTGCGTGCTGGCGTGCAAGCAGCATGAGAACCTGGGGTGCAGCAAGAAGCAGCCGTGCGTTAATGGCTACTACCTGCGCAGGAACACCACTGGTAGGCTGCTTTTTTTTTGTTCTGGAAAGGGGGTAGTACTAGTGGAGTGCTTCTCATTCCTGTTTATGCCAGCTGGTGGGTTACTTGAGAGCAGCAT